TATATAGTTATTATTGTAATCCAGTTATTTACACTCATTTATGTAAAAAATCTATCACATTTTTGGTTGTAAGTAGCTGACGAGAAACCTCGAAATATTATGAATTCATACTATTCTGCACCAATATTTGTTCTTGCTTTATTCAAATATAATCAATCTGGTTTTCTTTAGTGTAATCCAGTGATACCCATGTAGTTTTGTGCATGCGTTTTTGATGGAAAATGCATCCACCTATAGTTGTTCTGTTTAAAGTACATAGAATTGCAGATTTCTCATTATTTTCGTCTATAAATAGATGTTTGTAATATGTTCAATTGATTGATAACTGGATGGTGATCAACGTCATGTATGTCAGATCCTTCTTAGTGCAAATCGAATCCTATCAACCAAGTTGAAATGTGGTCACTAGTCTAGATGACTCAAGATTGCGTGCACTATGTTGAGATAGCTCAGTGGTAACGTTTCTGACTGTAAAGCTGGGTGATAAGGAGCATCGGTTCCCTCAAGATTACAGATGCACTTTGCTGACGAAGGCCAAGTAGCACGAAACCCAGGTTCAAGTTTCCTGTTGGCTACCTCCAACCACCATTTTATCTCAACAAGAACACCATCGAGGACAATCAAATGTGTTTGAAAACAAAATTACAGAACATCTTAGCGAAATCTGAGAACCATACAGTAAATACTTCATTTGCAAAATGTCAATCAGTCGTCTTAGACTTCATTGTTTCTTTGTATTCACACCAATCATTCTCTATTCTTCGATCTTCTTAACCTTTTGCCTCCAGTCATTTCGCTTTCGATTTATGATACATACCGCTTATATTTATCGACATCAGTAGCACACACCACAAAAGTACTCTTTCGTTACGATTCTAGTTGGGTATTTTTCTCCGAAATATGTAAAATGAAAATGTAAGCTATGATCAATAATTACTGCCGTTATAGATAACAAATATTGACAAAAAAACATATAATCTCTTTCCTTAAGTTCTTTTATTTACTTTAAAACGTGGATTCTATTGCTCTATGCGAATTATCCATTTTTGTATTAACAATGGATTATAGAGTTGCATTGATTTTAGAAATAAAATTACAATGAGGTGAAATTAAAAACTGTTATTGAATACAATGACCAATGATTAATGTATAAGTTAAATTCACTTGGTATTGTTTTACTCGTATCTTCCCACTGCTATTTAGGACTGCAATTGATCAGTCTCTTATTGGAATATGTACATCCTGTGCGAATTGCCTTGATATAGAACGAAACGCGCGTCAAACTGGATCCCACTGCTAGCAACTATTCATCTTTGCTTAATGTATAAGTTTTATTTTTTCACTTTTTAACCATGGTTTCTTGCTAACATGAAACGTTTTGAAATATTATCTATGATTAGAAGGTATTATTGACTCGTTTTATTGCGTTTTTATACAGAAAGATATTAATAGCTAATTAGAAAGCCTGATTTCTGATTAACACATTTCTTTACAATGTAAATAAGGTAAAGATTTTATTCATCAATTATGTCATAAAGTTACTTTATATGAACAGATAGAAAATGAAGTTTCACTAGTTGGTATGTTAAAATGATCAGAATAACGGAAATTTATATAGCCTAACTGAATTCGCAAGGTATAATATGTAATTTTAGAGAGATCATTTGGATGTTTATGTATTTAATTACTCAACTGTTGATACCACTATAAGAAGATAAATATGAAATAAAGTTGAACTTTTGGAACTACCTTATCAGGATTCATTGCTTAGATTTTGTTATATAATTATTAAACCATTAAACTAGTGAGATTTTGTATTTGCCTGCTTATCAAATCTTATGCGATAAATCATTTGTTGTTATATGTTGTGTATTTATTAAGTTACTATTAATGTATTGTGGATATATTACTCTGTTCTGCTTCACCAATGGAACAATTACATTGATGTAGTAATTTCGTTATTATATTGATGTGTGGTCAGGACTTGACTTCATAATAATGGTTGCGATTCATAAATGCATCAGAAGAAAATTCGAATCCATAGTGTTGTGTTATATACTGGCTATCGGAAAAGCGATTGTGGAAGAACTGAATTCTAGACCAAACTTTGTAAATATTGACCTCATTATCGTCGTGTTAATTGTTAGTCGTTGATTGGTACTAGATAGAAAATCTAGGTGAATTAATCAATACTCAAATTGGATAGATCCAGTTACTCTCCTGTAGTACGATCCAATAACATATGCCCCATGAACAACTCAAGACATTTTCTTTAAAATTCTGTCTCATCACATACCTAGTCTAGTAAATGAACGCACCTTCTAGAGTGTAAAATCATCATCTATTAATTATGATGCTTTGAATGGATTTTCTTTGGTGTACATTCAAATCTCAGGTTATTTACATAGTTATTTCAATTAAATAACTTTTCTTAATCGTAAATATTTTCATTTAATTAGTGATGAGATTATTTCCTGTGAAAAACAAACCGACAAATGAGTAATCAAATCAATAACCGTTAATAAAGGTATGTGCTAACCTTGGAAATATTCATCATGTAAAAAATTGCACTCACAAAATCATGTCCATTATGTATACCTTAATAACTCCGCCTGTAGCTCTTCTAGAGTTACTGCCGGTCTCAAGCCCGGCTAAAGGAGGAGGGTTGGGCATGGGGTTAGCGACCCCATCCCGTAGAAAACTAACTCGCTAAAAAAACGCAAAGTAGTGTATACCTTAATGCTTCATACATGTTAAAGCTTATCTTAATATATTATTGTACACTTCGCTGCATGTCCTCATAGAGTTAAAGTTACAAATATGATTGAAAATCCCGATACCGATTACCAACAAATCTTTTCTTCATCTACAACTTCGGATAAGATATTTCACATCCAAAGACTTTTGTACACCATTAGATCCCTGCTATATGGTATGGAGGTTAACTATTCATGTGCCAAACTTAAAGTCCTGTGTCCAGTTCCCAGATGCGGGGTCGTGAATGTCCACTGTTCGGGAGTCCTATAGTAGGAAAAAACGGCTATCCAGTGCTTGTTGGATTTCATAATCATATTTTTAAGAAAAAAATACCAATGAGATATTTTATCGTCTTTCAAATGTATATGATGACTACAAATGAAATACGAAAGAAGGCAAAGTATTAATACCAAATTTTTCTTCCAAATCAGACCAATGAAACTGTTGCCAAAAAACCATAGCACTTTATATGGTTAGTAAGCGAAACATAATATGAAATACAAGCAAACACCTGCGTTCACATTTATTGTTGAGTGAATATGTAAATAAGTGTGAATGACCATGGCGAGACTATAACTTCTGGACTAACTATTGGAAATAAAGACAACACGTATTAAATCTTGGAGTGAAATTCATTTATCCAAATGGTTAAATAGAATTTTGGCACTATACTTGATATCAGTTCGTCATTCAAATGCGTACTGTAATTTCTAACCATAACTTCTAACTCTAAATCCTAATCCTAATTCCTCATACTAACTTAAACATTTTTTACCGTAGCAAGTAAGTGGATATTCTCAGGGTCCCTTTAGAATTGCTCAAAAATTGTGCAGAAATTATAATCTCACCATTATCATTATGAAGTTATTTTAAAGTAGTCGTAAGTTACATAACGGCCATGCCATTCTACAGGTAAGACTTATCAAAAATATTCTTGATAGACGTTACTATAAAGGTATAAGAAGATGGAAAACAATAAGCCATACTCTTCAGATATTATAAGTTTTTAAAGTTCATATGTAAGCTTAAAAGAGAATACATATAATATAAAACATATTGTAGCGAATTCAATGCATTTAAGTTGAAAATTTGTAAGATAACATGAACGTCAACACATATGACAAAGTGAATGCTGGTGTTGTATGTGCTACTTATATCAACATAAGTAGTATATAAGGCTATTCAGGAATAAAATGTCTAGCAACAGAAGGTCGAGAAAGAAAGAACGGAAACAGAAAACGATTGATATGACAATGAAGGAACAGTGAAGTCTAAGACAAAGGATTGACATTTACAAAGAAAAAGTCAAGTTTAAGACAGTTGATTAAAATATTTTACAAATTAAGTATTTACTGTATAATTCTCAGATTTTACTCAGAAATTCTTTAATTTTGTAATATAAATACATTCGATTGTCTACCACTTGTGTTCTCGTTCACTACAATGATAATAGTGAAAGGTAAATAAAATTTTAAAGAAGTACATTATTAAACTTTATTTTAGGTATTAAATAAATCTTTATCTGTCTTGTAGGGCCAGTGAAATTCCACTGAGCCCTAGCCAAATCATCATGCAGTTGGGTCATTGAATATAGAACAAATCATCGATCCTCGTCAAGATCAAGGACAACCAACGCGCATCAATTAATCGTATGCAATGGACTGCCCCATTCAGCAGCGGTCTTACTTTCGTTTGTATCTACTTTAACTAATATATTTCCGTAATAACGTCCTCTGTGTTGTACAGTCTTCAAAGCATCTATGGTACATTGATACGTCAATGGGGTAGTCCACGTGAGGTGTTGACCAAGAGATGTGACTTCGACGTTAGCTGGTTCGTCACGCCATTCCCGTTTAACTCGAGTAGGCTTCCGATCATTCGACATCAATCATCTACGTTGGTGATCTATAGTCTATTTGTTTACGTATAAAATCTTTCTAACATGTTTCATATTGATATCTTAACAGAAAATAACATTGTAATTGTTATACTTAGAAACGATTACCCCATCTGTCTCTCTCTCTTTTGCATGTTTGTTATCTTGTCAAAAATGACTAATGTCATTAACTCATATGTTAATTGGATGAATTTTTCATTAAAAGTATAGATTATAAAAGATTAATTATTTACAATGAATTATATAAATAGATTACTGTAAATATTCTAATCAGTTGTATATGATCATTTTAGTATAGTGAATAAAACGTTCATCTGATAATTATTCATGAATCATGATTAATTCAATGTTAATAATGATTATTGTATCTTTGAATATATACATCAATTGTATTCCTATATCGAATAATATATGGACATTGAAACAAAATACCGGTTCATTTCAATCACAAAATCAAGTACAAACATTTAATACAAGTGGATATTCAGTTCAAAAACAAAGTCAAACACAATCATTTATTAACACTTATAACAATGGACAACAAATTATTCAGCAGCAAATTCAACAACAAAATCAACAATTTAATTCAATTCAATCACAAGCTCAACATCAATCGATAAATTCTGGAAACTTGCAACCAATAAATACATTACCAATGATTATTCAACCAAACCAAAATGATGGTTTACAAATTTCAATTGATCAAACACAACAACCATTCGATTCACAGATATATAATCAACCAGAATCACTGAGTCAGCCACGAAATGACGTTGGTCATTCAATACCTGATCATCATCAACAACAAGAAGAACAATCAACAGAACTACCTCAAGAATCTCAGAACAGTGAAATACAACGAACACAAGAAATCCAGAATGAAGCAAATTCTCAACAACTCGATTCATCGCCACAATCCGATCAGTCACAATCCAATGTTGATGATTTGCTATTGGTACAACCACCATTATCTGAACAGTTTCGAGCAATACAGAATGGTCAAAATCAATCATCACAACAGTCACAGCCTGGAATCGACTCACAACGTCAACCCGATTCATCACCACAATCCGATCAGTCACTATCCAATGTTGATGGTTTGCTATTGGTACAACCACCATTATCTGAACAGTTTCGAGCAATACAGAATGGTCAAAATCAATCATCACAACAGTCACAGCCTGGAATCGACTCACAACGTCAACCCGATTCATCACCACAATCCGATCAGTCACTATCCAATGTTGATGGTTTGCTATTGGTACAACCACCATTATCTGAACAGTTTCGAGCAATACAGAATGGTCAAAATCAATCATCACAACAGTCACAGCCTGGAATCGACTCACAACGTCAACCCGATTCATCACCACAATCCGATCAGCCACAATCCAATGTTGATGGTTTGCTATTGGTACAACCACCATCGTCTGATCTGTTCCAAGTATCGGATTCACCGATTCCTAATGTGTCAAATCCAATAGTTGAGCAGCATTCGGAATTTGAGAATTCATTCTCTAGTGAACCGACACGGTCACTCGAATCTCATCTATCTCCAGATTCTCCATTATCCGATCAACAGCACCAGCGACTACGATAACAACCATTAGAAGATTCACAGGTGTAGTCAGACACTCAAATATCGAACAAACAACAAACTTTCCACTTATCGTCTTATCAGTCACAATCCACTGTTAGTATTGTTACTATATAATATCAGTCTGATTTGACACAAATAACCTTCAGTTCTTAAGCATGCAATCAGCTTTATATTTGTGATGACTTATGACCGATCATTAATATCACATGACGAAACAACAATTACAATATCGATCTCTATGACTTTGTCCTTGAGCTAAGCAATGACACACCAACCGACACTTGAGTCGATGACAAGTCCTTATTTGTCCTACACTCAATCGAGAAATTGGTAACCAACCTCCACTGTACGAATATTATATTTTTTATCGATACACATACGACCACACCAGACCACACCATAAAATGGAAAATAACACCTACACATGATCAAGCCGAAAAGTGTCCGTGAGTAGGGGAGACTGAATAATAAACTGGCAACAGATCAATAGTGGTTAATCATTCATCGGTAGTTAATTTGTTAGTCAAAAGCTTTTGATAAAAGTAATGTATATATATTTATGTATGATATCGTTACTTATTCATTATATGGTAAGAATGGATATATGTGTATAAGTAATAATAGTTATGGAAGTTACCATTCCCCTAATTTTCGTTTGAATGAAACAACATTTTTCGATGAGTCAATTTAACGTTTCACTTCTGCTGTACATCGTTGATGACATGTATGTGAATAGCAGTGCCCATCGATTGGTTTCATTCACGACAACTTAACAAGTTTTCCAATTGGTTTTTCAACTGTTTATGTACATTACTAACCACAATCGTGTTTTAGTCATTTGATAACTATTTAAATCTTTACATTACATTCATGCACACACTTTCATCCAATTAGTCGGAAATTGCGATCATGTATTAATTAGATTGTCTGGTCAACATCTAAGAAATATTAATCAATTGCCACATTCATTGTGATGAGAATTTTGACAAGTAGATCAAATGGTATCATAGTGGTTAATGTTTGTATTATTCAGGTTATGGAAATCAAGTAGGAAAGAGCAACGTTGTGAAATCGAAACCATAATCATGTAGCTAATCTAAAGAACGGTTCACAAACTGAAGTGACAGTGGAAAATGATGTATATTACTATTATTCATGAAAGTTCGAGATTATTCATGTTGAAGTTTGAATGGATGATTTGATGGTAAACTTTATCGAAATAATCCTATGTAATGATTATTTTGCGTAACTTTGTTTCGTTCAACTGTGTCTCCAAAATGAATCTGACTAATAAATGTTCTCGTTACTGATCCTTATATTCCACTTGTGTTGTTTTAAGTTGATTCTTATCATGAAATCACAGTAGATCGTTTTGGTTACTTTGAAGTTAAGTAATGACTGTGTGAATGGTGTTGATATCTGTAGTCAGTGAATATGTGGTTGATTTCCGTCATTATACATAAACGCTTGCGTTATACATATGAGAAATAACATCTGACAAGCTGACATCTGTTGGCCTCTTTAGAGCATTGAATTTAATACTGCTTGATACAATAAACATTTACTGTTTCAAATATTACAATTCAGAGAAGTGTTTCAGAACAGAATATCGATTGTATTTAAGAAAGGTCAGAAAAAACTCAGATTTGTTCTATTTATTGATATATTCTTTCTTGAGGCATCACAATCCAACTAAATTTATGTCAGTCAGTCAGCTACAACGTAGGACCAGGCACATATGTGCATCGGTCCAGGTTGCCATACCGCATCAGCACAACAAGATGAACACCAGATTCGTAGCAGTGGTTAGGTCAAAGGTAGTAATATATAAGAGAAAGATTGCATATAGAGATATAGTACAAGAAGAAAGAATTGGTTCGTAGAAAGAAAGATATGAAGCGATTTTAATCTCTTAGTTTAAGGGAAGACAGGGAGTGTATACACCGACGCCATTGTGATCGATTCTGAGCCATGTCACCAAGAGTCTCCAACCATTGGTTACGATAGTCAAGCGGACCCCAACCAAGTAGTCTGCATCTACCAACATGGCTCAGACTAGAAGTTAGTGACTTCAAACACTGATGCCACGTTTTGGTCTGGCCGCCCCTAACTTTCTTCCAACCATCTCCAATACCGGATAGCATTGCACGTCGTGGTAATCGGTGTTCAGGCATACGTAACATGTGGCCCAACCATCTCAGTCGATGAAGATTCATAACCTCATCAACTGATTTACCATCATTCCCTAATACCCTGCACGTCTAACCTCACTATTACTTACCCGGTGATCCCAGCAGACGCCAGCAATATTTCTAAGGCATCTGTGGTCAAATACTAATAGCTTACGAGTGTCTTCTACTCTTAATGGCCATGTTTCGCTGCCGTAAAGTAAGACAGAACGGACTGCCGCGCAGTATACTCGTCCTTTTATTGATAGACGGATATCTCGCCTTCGCCACAGGTGACGTAAGTTGGCAAAAGCCAAACGAGCTTTTCGAATCCGTGCTGAGATTTCGTCAGACACCAACCCATTAGGGCTGATCAGACTTCCAAGATAAGCGAAGTTGTCAACGCGTTCGACTACTTCACTCCCTATCCTTAGTTCAGGTGTTAACGCAGACCAGTCCTGAAGCAACAACTTGCATTTAGAGGGAGAGAAGCGCATCCCAAACATTCTGGCATTGTTGCTTAGTGCTACCAGAAGACTCTGCATTTTGTCAGCGTCTTCACCAAACAGGACTATATCATCTGCGTATTCTAAGTCGATAAGTGGACCACCTGGAAGGAGATCAATACCCGAGAATTCAGTCGACGAGAGTGTTATTTCCATCAATAGGTCTATGATGAAGTTAAACAAAAATGGAGAAAGTGGACAGCCTTGACGGACACCACTTGAAGTTGCAAAAGTAGATGACAGTTCGCCATAAGCCCTGACTCGACTAGTAATGTTCGAGTAAAGAGCCTTTACAAGGTTTATGTACTTCCGAGGTACGCCTTTCAATGACAGACACTGCCACAGAATCTCGTGGTCTACCGAGTCAAATGCTGCTTTTAAGTCGAGAAAGACCACCATTGTCGGACGCCGATAAGTATGTCTGTGTTCTAGAATCTGACGAATGGTGAATATGTGGTCGATGCAGCCACGACCAGGTCTAAAGTCAGCTTGGTTCTCTCGTGTTTTCAGTTCACGAGTCTTAGTTAGGCGTCTGATAATTATCGAGGCTAGTATTTTAGATATTATATTAGTTAAACTAATCCCTCTGTGGTTGTCACAGGATGATTTTGACCCTTTTTTATATATTGGGACGATAAGCGATTGTGACCAGTTAGATGGAATAACGTCTAACTCCCAGATTTTAGCCAAAATATTAGTCAACCTAATCGCTAAAATTGGACCACCATCCTTAAAGACCTCTGGAGCCGATCCATCTGGACCAGCTGCCCTTCCTCGTTTCAGATTAACTATAGCCTTTTGAACTTCAGCAAGAGTTGGGGGACCTACTTCAATGTTCCATTCACACTGTCTGGGAATGGAGGGTAGTTGTAGAGTAGCTGGAGGCCAGCTGAACTGTTCTCTGAAATGTTCCGCCCATCGTTCTAAACGCCTGGACTGGGAGCAGATGAGTGTATCGTCTTTTTCCGAAATAATCTCACTTACACTTGACTTATTAATTCCAGTTTCTTTTATTAGTCTGTAAAGCTGTCTTGTGTTCCCTATAGTCGCCGCCTTTTCCATCTCTTTTGTTTTCGTTGCCCACCACTGCTCACGGTCGTTTCTTAGACTTTTTCTTAACCTAGATCTGATTTGTTGTCACTCTTCATCATGTTTGGAACCTAATGGGACGAGTTTGCGAGAATCCATCAGTGTGATAGACTTTGAAGAAATCCACTGGTTCTTTGTAACTCTGTGGTTTAAGTCACTAATAGATTTCATTGCTGTTTCCACAGCTGTTTGTATGCTCTTCCAAGCAACATCTGGGTCAGCCTCGTCTTCAGAACTACCTAATCGTGACCTCAGTTGTTCCTGGAACCTACTTTTGGTTTTCTCGCTACTCAGTTCAGTTCTAATGGGTCTTTTTAATGTGGCTTTTTTGGGTCCAGTGAGGCGCAAGCAGATGCGTGCCCGTATTAGGGCGTGGTCGGAGTCCAAGCAGGTACTCCAGAATGAGCGACAATCTTCTACCGACCCTCTCCAACGATGACTGATGGCAATATGGTCTATTTGAGTCCATCGTTGGCTTGGTGCAGGCGGTCGCCACGTTAGACGATGTCTCTCCTTATGCTTAAAATTTGTGTTTGCTAAAAATAAACGATTGTCTGAGCACAGTTGCAGTAGACGGTCACCATTATCTGTTCGCAGTGCCGGAATGCTAAAATATCCACCTAAATGCCTTTCTGTTTGGTTTAAGCTACCTATCTGAGCATTAAAGTCACCCCCTACGAGTACTATGTCTGAGCGTTTAGCTTTCTGAAGAAGTTCGGACAGCTTTCTGTAAAATTCATCTTTCACATCATCTGAGCTGCAGTCAGTGGGAGCGTAGGCAGAAACGACGAAAAGGCAACGACGTGTGTCCCTATCCTTCCGAGTTCTTACGGAGCCGTTTAGCCGAACAGCACATAGACGACTGTTGACGGGGATCCACTCTAACAGTGATTGTTCCGCCCTCATGCTTAGTGCTATGCCTACACCTGCCAGTCCACGAGAACTGGCCATCGGGTCACCAGATACACGTAGGGTGTATCTCGTTGGCTCTCCGTGTTGCCGAGGTGAGGTCAAGTGAATGACCACACTGGAATCCTGTATGCGTGTTTCGGAGACACAGCATACATCAATGGAAAGAGACTCTAGGGTTTTAGCCAAGGAAGCCTGGTGACCGATTTGACATAGAGTGCGTACGTTGAAAGCTCCAATGTGTAGTTTGGAGCGAGGTTTCAGTAGACTGGGGACAGTGTTTTGAGCACTAGAATCGTTGGCTATGGTGACACTTGAGGGGGAAGCC